ACACACACACACACACACACACACACATACACATTTGGATAAAGTTTGTAAGAAATCTTTTTAAAGACAGACTTCTTTAAATAGTGGACAAACCCGTCAACCATCTTTAGCCTTTTTCCTTATATGGGAGGTAGATATAATGCAGAGATAAAGTTACTGATTCCACATTTTTAGCTAATCTTCTAAAAAACTTTATGAAGCAAAGAGGACAGGTTGTAATGTCCTGAACATTGTTAGAACTGGGTCAGGACTGTTCACTTTTAGTCCATGATTGTTCCTGCCTTGCACACTGTGCACACTATGAGAGATTGATCTGCCTTACTTAGCAAGTTCACAGAACAAAAGTCTTTTTCCCACATCTTTTTTTATAACTTGTGTGACTTCAGGGAGTCAAGATTATTTTAAGTTCCAAGTATATTTTACTTCATGGAAAGTCAAGTATCTTTGTGCATGAAAGAAATTCTGGAAATGCTTTAACTTTCTGGAAAACATAAACTATTGTTTAAGTGGACTGAGTATTAATACTTAAAAGATTACACCAGCCACAAACCGTACAAAATGCAAATTTTTTAGCCTTTTGCTTTGTTTCTTTGCTCCATTTACAGAAATCAAGAGAGATTGGTATCTTGAAGTTAGAAATGCATCTGAATACAACATTTAATTTGATACTGCAATGATTTGATCAAATGCACAAAGGGAGTTGTGTGGGTTAATTGAAGAAGCACTAGAATATCATCTTTGGGAATGAACTTCAATCTCATTGTGAGTCCTAGATGAAATGATATTGCTAGATTTGGCTTGGCTTCGAGTGATTAAATATTTATGAGGCAGCTTAGTTTACTAAGTGTAACATTTAACACAGCTTCAATTTTTTGCTGTCCTTTATTTCAATCCCTAGAGTGAAATTTTTCTTAGCCTGGTTTCTTAAAACTCTGAAGAATTATTGACAAAATGATAAAAAATTTGACTAGCTTCTCTTTATACCTTCCCCCTCCCTAAAAAATAAAAAATAAATAACACAAGGCAGAGAATGTTACTATTCAAAATAACTATTAATGATATCATTTCTTTATTTCCCTGGCATCTTATATGGAATTAAAGGTGCAGCAACTTAATCAACTGAAGACAGAGAATTGGTATCAGTTCTTGTGATTCTAGGCTTGCTTAGACTAAGTGGAGCTCTCTATGAACTCCTCAGAGGCCCCTTGACTTTGCTCATCAAAATATTTTGCACAACGTATCTTGTAAGTTACTGAAATTAAATGGCATTTAATTTTTGCAGTGCTTTCTCCACTCCTACTTAGCTGGAAGCAAGTGAAAAATGATGCCTCATCAGTATGTTTGCCATATAGCATGCAACATTATGAAAAAATTTCATTTGACAATTGCGTGAGTTTAGGTAGACTCACGAGGATTAATCAAAGGAGGACAGATTCTGCCTTCCAAATGCCTATGTAGTGATAACAGCCATTAATTATTCATAAAATACATATTAAATGTCTAGCTTGTGACAGGCACTATTGTCTGTATTTGAGCTGTAGATGCAAATAAATAAAACAGGTGCTTGCCTTGATGAAACTCACCGTGAAATTAACACACCTGAACTTGCTGTCAGTAGAAGAGTGTAGTATCACAGTTAGATATTTAAGACATTCATATCTCTTTTCTTTATGTGTTTCATGTCTTCTCTCCCTTTTCATTTTAATCTCTGCTATGTATATCATCCACATGTTTTGTTACTTTAGCCCAGAAAATCTATCTCTTAATCCAATGGATGCCTTTATATCACTTAGGGAATGCACTTAAAAAAGTAATCAAGTCACATCTAATAATTTTAATGATCAAATTAACTTCCCAAATAAAGTTCACCTATTTACCTTTTCAATACTTTCTAGCTGGAGATGAGCAGCTGCTTCGTCTTTGGTAAGAAGAATGCAATTCCAGGGGGACCACTCACAGGACTTATCCCATCTCACCATGACCAAGTCATTGAGGTCGTCCCAGGCACTGAGTACAGACTGGGGTATCCAGATGTTCTCTATCAGGTATTGAATATCTTGGAGCTACAGTCAAATTAAGTTTGAAAACAATTTTGTTTTACTGTAAATAAAAACTTTTAAAAATTATATGACTTGAGAAAATAATTAAATTATATTGACTACTTTACAAAATACCATTCATAAAGTTTCAGTGGCATATAGTAGTAGTTCCTTGTATTTTACCAAACTTCTGTCCATTATGCTCGACTACATTGTTAGTCTCAAACGATGACTCTATGTTTAACCTACAGTAAGCTGAATATATTTCTTTCAGTGTGTTCATTACTTGTACATTAATAATACCTGACTAATACCTGTATAAATATATGGTACTAAATGCTTTTTTAAAAGATCATTAGTAAATTTTTTAGGACAATGATAAGATCTTTTTAGAGCTATTTATTGCCATTTTATAAATGAGGAATCTGAGATTTAATAAAGATGAAATAATTCATTGTGTATAAGATTTAAAAAGACTGTAAGAATATAAAAAAGGAAAAGAAAAAAGTAAAGGACTATAAGATTTTGTTTTTCTAATTTTAAAAAGCAAAGGTAGGGAAGTAAAATAAGCGTTTAAACTTTTGTTAAAAGGATCAACTCAGGGCCTCAAACAGACTAGGCAAGTGCTTCATCACTACACTACATTCCCAGCCTCCTCTTGGAATCTTCTTTTTTATTTGGTTACCCAGGATTGAACTCCAGACCTTGTGCTTGTGAGGCAGGTGGCAGCACTACGGAGCTAAATTCCTGGCCCCTCTTGAAATCACTTTGTATCATGAGCTTTTTATGTGTAAATTTAGAACTGTAAGAAGATGCCTGACAAAGTATAAACATTTAAAAAAGAATTATTACTTTTTAAAAGTTTGTGTGAGAAAGCAAGAATATTTTCTATAAAATCAGTAGATAAAACTTAAATTTACCAAACTTCACAAGAAAAAGACCTTATCACTGACCTACTACACTGTTTCATAAATGAATAATTCAACTATTAAGCTCAACTAATGGAACCTAGCTTTTACTTCATTCAGGAAAAGACAATATTATAACAGCTGCTATGCAAAAAATCTATGTGACCTTAAAATGTAATATTTCATATAATTTCACTCATATTCAAAATGTTTATCTTATCTAGAATATATAAAGAACTCAAAACAATCAGCCCCCCAAATATAAAGACCAAATTCAAAAAGGGGCATCTGAAATGAACAGACATTTCTCAGACAAAGAAATAAAAGCAGCAAGTAAATATATGAAAAAATGTTCCACATCACTGCTCATTCGAGAGATGCAGATAAAAACAACACTGAAGTTCGACCTCACCCCCCAAAGAATGGCTGCTATCAAGAAATCAAACAATAACAAATGTTGGCAGAGTTGTGGGGAGAAAGCAACACTTCTCCATTGTTGGTGGGAGTGCAGACTGGTACAACCACTGTGGAAATCAATATAGAGCTACCTCAAAGAGCTGGAACTAGAGATTCAATTTGACCCAGCCATCCCTCTGCTGGGTATCTTTTCCAAAAGAACTAAAAGAATCATATCACAGAGAAGTATATGCACCCATGTTTATAGCAGCACAGTTTGTAACAGCTAAAACTTGGAAACAGCCCATTTGCCCATCCGTTGGACACTGGATAAAGAAGATGTGGTTTTTCTATAAAATGGAATATTACTCAGACATAAAGAATGAGAAAATAGATTCACTCATAGGAAAATGGATACATATTGAAGATATACTCCTAAGTGAAATAAATAAATCACACATGTGTAAATAGCGAATAGTTTCTCTGGTGTGAATAAACTGCAATAATACATAAGATCCTAATAAGATTACTGACATTGTGAAATGGGAAGGAAGGGGCTAACGGTGTAGGGAAGGTGGGATGGGTAGGGGAAGGGCAATAAGGGAAAAGAAAAATTGTGAGATAAAGAAAAGATGGAAATGAAGTGTTTGTAGATGGGGAGGGGAGGAGGGGGTGAAGGGAGGGCAGGGACAAGGGGAAAAAATGAGAACCATGACCTGTCATGTAGAGGTACAAGATCCCAACAATGAATGCAACTGTACTGTATCCCTAAAATGTACCAATAAACTCAATTAAAAAGAAAAAAAATGTGTATCTTATTAACACTTTTTAAAATGCGTCAATTGTCATAAAATTTTTTTAAAGTTTCAAGGAGAATGAGATATTTATTTGCATGTAAACGTTAAATGTGCACATGACATGAAGAACTGGCTACTAAGCAATAAGTGTGATACTTGAAATTGCTGCAATAATGAGAAATAATACCACCCATTATATTCTGGAATACCTGCATGGATTCCAAGTAAACCAACTGACTACACAAACATTCAAAATCTCTAAGTATGAGAACTTTTACTATTTTTTTAACTTTTTTTCTTTTTTACAAAGGGTCTCATCATGTAGTTCAGGCTGGCCTTGAACTTGCTGTGTAGCCCAAGCCAGCCTTGAACTCGTGGCCACCCTCCTCCATCAGCCTCCTGAGTGCTGGGATTACAGGCATGTGCCACCACACATAGCTTAACTTTACTTTTTACACATCTTAGATTTCATCCTTTCAGTGTACATGCCATCACGTTCAAATTCAGTATACTGTATGTTTTATCTTTGCCCATAAGTTTTACAATTTCGTGAGAAAGTTCAAATATTTAAATTATGCCTGGCAATAATATTGCTGAAGTATATATTTGTCAAAATTATATCAATTTCAAGGGAGAAAGTTCTTGGGCACTTGTATTTGTCTATTAGCCAAGATATTTGAAAAGCAAGATAAGAGGCCCAAAAATCCAACACAAGCACAGTATCAGAGATTAATCTTATCTGAAAGGTGAAAACACTTTTCTGGGATTTTTTTTATTCAATATATGTGATGATTAATTTCATCTTCACTTGACTGGGCCAAAGGGTTTCCAGATATTATAAAGTGTTAATTCCAGTGAAAGATAAGTAACCACTTTTTCTCTGTATTTTTAAACTGTGGGTTGTTACCTCTTGGGTGACACCAAATTCTCCAAAGGAAGATTAGAATGAGTAGGTTTGGATTGAGCACAAAATATCTGAGGGCATCCATACCAGTAAAGGTAAATATTATTTTGAGAACACTTTGTGTCTGGGGCAACACTAAAATGCTTAAGTTTGAACCCAGTGATGGTACTTACCAGTGTAAACTTGGGAAAGTTAGTTAACCTCTCAGATCTTAAATTTTTTCATATGCAGAACGAAAGTAATTCCTATTTTCATAGGATTATTGTGTTGGCTGAACCAACATATAAAGTGTGTAGGGCCATATAAGCACTGTTTAAATGTTGGTTATTATTATCATCACTAATACTGCCATGCATGCCTATGTTAGGTTTTGATAAAAGCACATATCACTGTATAGATCATGATCAAAATATTTGAAAGCTATGGACTTAGAACCCTTTTTTAACAAAGCATATTATTTTTGGAAACTATTTTTTCGAACACCTAAAATTTTTTATTCATAGCATTACCTGTTTTCTGATTTAATTTAACATAATTTTAATTAATAATCTAATTACAGAAAATGACCTATTTGACGGTCTGTGCGCACAAATGTCATTGTTGAGATCAGTACTTCTTTCTGGGTTTCTTTTATTAATAAGTTGTTGATGTTGGGAGCTACCCAAGCCTACTTTCCCAAAATAGCCTCCGGGAACCATATTGAGAAGAGGGGAGACTTACGAATACTGCATATATGATCATTTTTCTTCTTCTTTGGGTGAACATAGAATAAATAATACCAGAAGACTGAACACTGTCCCAAATGATAATATTCACAACAGCATAAGAAAAGACTACCCTCTCAATAAGAAACATATAAGCTCTTTTTTGCTGGGTTAATGTTGCTACTGAGGAATATTAATTTAGTAGAATAATATTCCCATAATATTTTTAAAATCTAACCCCTATCTTGTTCTAAAAGAAGCAAAATTTGTCATTGGATATTATTAGTGTCCACAGTTTCAGCTCAGGGAAAGTTAAGAAAAAGGATAGAAACTGGCCTCATCTCCTATCTTCTCTTCCCCCATTTAAGGCAGTTACGATGTCATTTCTCATTGCCCACTCCTCCCGCTTGGAAAATTCCAAACTTCTTATATATTTTTAAATTGAAAAGAACTCTTGTCAAGGATGAGGCAGAAAAAAAGTGGAAATAATATTTTATTATTATTTAATATCTATGGTACACTTCAAAAAGAACGCAGAGACTCTTGACGGCGTGGCAGGTTGAAATGTCTACTCATTCGCTGTCTATAAAGAGCCCAGAAAGGCCTACCTAGCAGAAGGGGGAGCGCTTCTCATCTCAGCAACAGCATGACACTGTCTTTATTTTCAATTATGAGGTTCCTTAATCTATGACTCAGACTCCCCACATATCAATAGGAAGGGGACTCCAATTCCAACCCCAAAGCTGCCCACTCAGGAGTTACCTCAACAATAATATAAACCACCTACCTCCTCCACACCTTGACTCTCTAGGACTTCTACATGAGCCGAAGAGGTCCCTCATTACTTCTCCGCTCTGTAGCGCCAGGTTCCCACTCAGCTAATCAAGATTCCTACCTCCCTTCTTCTCTCCAGCTCGTTCACTGGGTCCTTCGAACTACCTTTCGTTAACCGGCCCCGATATAAATCCCTGACCATCACACTGTTGATCGCCCTCACCTCCCTCCTCCTTCAGCGGCCTTTCTCAGAATCACAGCGCACATGAGTCATCACTCAACTTCCTCCTGCCCGAAATCTACCATTCAGACATCTCCATTTCTTGTGTTTTTCTTGTAAAACATGTAACTCTAATGGTTTCAATTCTTCACATTCTTCCTGTACACACTTTACTGAAGAAAATCTTACAGTTAGGCGGACTGGTACCACATGAAGTCATGTTCACTCCTCTTAACTGTGTCACTGTTATGGTTTAGACATAAAATGTCCCCCAAAATTTCACATTCAGAGGTGGGTCAGAAGGAGTAGGTTACAGCTGGCACGACTGAAAAGGGCACATGCTCGTCCCTGGCTCTGCCCTTCTCTCTCTGCTTCCTGGTCATGATCCCATGCACAGCTTTCCACCGCCATGTTCTTTCTTCCTTGAATCCAGCCAAATATTGACTGAAACCCTGAGTCAAAATAAACTTCTCCTCCTTTAAACTGCAGGTACTGGGTATTATGTCTGAGTAACAGAAAAGTGTCTAGCCCATTCACTAATAGTGCTTCATGTGTGTCCTAATTTATTTTAGTTTTTCACAATTCATTCCCCCCCATCTGCAAAGACTAGAATTTCACTAGAAAATATCCTAGACATTCCATACATTTCATAATTCTGTCCTCCATAATATCTCTCAACAAATGGAAACAGACCAGCAGAAGGTAACTCATAGGATATGGAATCATTATTTCCTCTTTTATTTCAATAAGGGAGGTAATCCTCGTCTTAACAAAGGCCATTCCACACACTATGTTCCCTTGTTTGTGTTATTTAAACAATAGTATAAAGAAACGATCCTACCCTATAATCAATTTATTTAATGTTCATATAATTTCTGAGAGTAGGTACATTTGATGTTCCCATTTTACAGGTGAGTAGATTGAGGTGCATTCAATTTTAGCATGTCCTGAGATAGAGCTGTTATGTTGCAGAGCTAGAATGTGTTATGTTGGCTCCAATGTCCTGCCCCTGTGCTTCAATCTCTTCCTCTTGACTATTCTTTAAACAGTGTTAAATGCACCCTATCTCCCCAATCTAAAAATCAGACTCCCACACTGGATAGCACCTCTGCTGCAATAGAACAATGTCGTTTCTGCCTCTAGGTCTTCATGAATGCTATTCCCATGGCCTGTGATGCTCTGTTTATCAAGGTCACTGGATTAAATCCTACTCACTCTTTTGTCTCATCTTATAAGTCACATCCTCAAGGAAGCCTTTGCTGGCCCACAAAATACAGCAGTACCACTTTTAATACTTTGTAGTACTCAGTATTTCCTCCCAGAGGACTGTTATTGCTGTTACAGAAACATAATCATTTTAATATCTGTCTTCTTTTCTAAGCTACAAGGTCTGATTCACCAGTGCATACCTAGAGTATAGCACAATACTTAAATACCAAGGAGATGTCTCCATGTAAAAGTCAGGAATGCAATCATTGTCTACATTAGGAAACCAAAAGTATCTTTTCTGATACGATAATATGTTCAACTGCACTGCACTTTCGTCACCACACCTGCTGAGAAGACAATCTCCTTAAAGACAGACTTCAGTCATTGGCAACCCTTACGGATCATACCTGCATCAAGAAGGCAATTTGAGCACCGTCATCATAACTGGCTTCGGAAGAGTAGAGCCGCTGAAGTAAACATTTATACTTCAAATAGGATTCTCGTCTTTGTGCCTCATTCTCAAGGTTAACACAGTGACGACACTTGAATACATGGTGTGAAGTAGATGAAACAGCAAATTCTGTAGAAGGCAGATACAGCTGGCAACTGCGGCAAAAGTAAATCTTCTTATAAAATTTAAGTGGATCTTGAGGGACCTAAATAATAGAAAGAAAAAAAGTGAAGGAACAAAGGAGAGGAGGGAGGGGAGGAGAAGGGAGGGTTGGGGGGACAGGGTAGGGCAGGACAGAAAGGGAAGGGAAAGGATAAAAAGATTAGGTTAAATACTAAAAAGAAGTACTGACAAAAAAAATTCATTGTCTCGTACCTTATAATTCTTGGTGGTAAGACAGTACACACATTTAAAACAATTAGTTCCTCTGGGTTAAAGAGGAAATCTAGACATGCAATTGAACAAGAAGGCAACGTTTCTAGTTCTTCTTCTGAGTTTTACCTATTAAGCTTGTCTTTAACAATTATTTTCTCTTCTTGCCTCCCAGGAATTAAGCTGGACAGATATATTGGGAAACTTCATGAAAACCAATTGACACACCTCTCCCTGGGTGTGTCAATAGGGACAGACTATTTATAAGCCATGAAATGAAATTCTCTATCTATCTGAAACTGAACAAGAAAGAATATAGCCTGTCCCTACTATGAATATGATGGCAGAGAGCACTGATTAAACTGAGCTACAACTTAGCCAAGGAAGAGTGATCTAGAGAAGGCTGAGCACTCACCCTGGCTCTCTCCCAGAAAGTAGTGTCAGGATAATGGTGTTTCTTCAAGTTCTCCTACCAGGCCAACTCAAAATGTACAAATGAGCTACACCCTTTGAAAGTCAGTGACAGTTTATTATTGGTAAATGTAAACTGGGATGTTAAAGGGCACGTCCCCTAACTGTAGAAAGATCGATGGACAAATTTGTTCTAGTTACTAGAAAAAGGAAATCTTTTATTTTAAATTGATATGTCACAAATAAATGAGCTAAATATTTTGCATTTATGTAAACAGAAAAGTAATCTCAAATTTCGTAGAAAACAATATGGTCTCTGGTTTAAATTTATTTGATGAATTAAATAAATAGTTCCACTATTTGATCATTTTATATAAAATTATTTTTTCTTTAAATAATAGAACTAATTAACTATCTTTGATAAATGAGAAGCTTCTTTTTGGTAATTTCCAACTAAAATTTATCTCACCTTGAACCAAAACAGTTTGTTTTAATTGTTTGATAAAAATCTTACTAAAATATTGTAAACTCCCTTTCTTTATAGAGCATACAAAATATAATTTGACCAACTACTAATGAGTCAGAATATTCTTATGATCATATACCAGAGTATTTTTGTGGCAATATGATATAGAATTCTTCGATTTATTTTTTCCTGCAAGGCAGGCGCAGTGCCACTGAACTAAATCCCCAGTAGAGTTCTTTGATTATTGCAAAGCATATCTACTCCTGTTTGCTATGAGCTGTTATTTCCCACTGTCTTTATTGTTCCAGCTCTAAGAGCTCTTACATCTTTGCAATTTTTGTTTCTATCCTGTTGGAGAATGAAAAGTAAAATCCCCAATTTTGCTATTCTATCTTGTACTCTGGCAGCTTCAAATGTCATCCAAATGATAAGCACTCCCAAGTTTATTTCCATCCCAGACCTTTCTACAGCAACAAAATTTTTTAAAAAATTTACTTCCCACTACACTGGAAGACTCCACTTTTTTGTTCATGACACGTTCTTCGGAGAATTAACATGACATGAAGACCACCCTCTGTAATTCTATAGCACTTGGTTATGAGTTTGCCTGCTGCTCCAGAATGATACTCTGACCCCTTTAGACCATCTCTATATTCTTGGCCCCCCTTGTTACTATGCACACAGATAATGTTCAAAAATGTTTGTAGTTGAATGAGATTGAATAAAAGTAATGCATGATTACTGTCAATGAATAAAATATGTGCGCTTAAGTGCAAGAGTTAAGAAGATACCCCAAGTGCTTGGAGATAATTTAGCTTGTTTTTAGGTTACTGAAGTCAATCACAGCTGCAATTACTGTATATGTAGGCATCAAGTAGAAAAGAATAAATAACAAATAAATAATAAATAACAAAATAATAAATAACAAAGTTATTAATGTTGATTTTTTAGGAGATACAGAAAATTAAAGAAGAGTACATAAGAAAGAAAATAGTATCAAAATGATGCAATATGATGAAAATATAATCTTTTCTATTAACTCAGGAAAAAATTAACCAAACTCAACACACATCCTTTGTTAAAAATCAAAAACAGAAACAAAACCACTATCAACAAATTAGGAATTGAAGGTACTTTCTTTTGCCAGATAAAAGACAGCTACAAAAATCTAAAGCTGATGCTGCATTCAACGATGAAAATCTTATGTTTTCCTATCTACAATCTCAAAGAGGGAAGGGATATCTCTCTCTATTCACCATTCCCATTCAATATTGTATTGAAAGGTAAAGCCAGTGTCATAAGGAAAAACACACTAATACAAATGAGAAAGGAGGAGATAAAAGTTTCTTTGCAGATGACTCAGTATCTTTACAGATATTACCTGACTGTCTTCTCAGTTGTACTATTTCCAGTGAGAAATCCACAGTCATCTTTATCTTTGTCCCCATACATGTTTTCTGTCCCTCCTTGCTTTTTAAAATTTATCTTATCATTTGTTTTGACTAATTTGATTATGATGTAACTTGGTGTAATATATTTTATGTTTCTTCTGGCTGGTGGTTAACGGAGGTTCTTTGATCTGTGGACTCATTTCTTTACATCGAATTTATTATAATGTTGGCCATCATCTCATCAAAATGTTTTCTGTATCCCCTTTCTCTAATCTCATTTGGAGACTGATCATACATATATTAGGCTGCTTGAACTTAGCCCAAAGTTTCGTGATTTTTTAAATTTTTATTGTTCTTTCTCCATGTTTTATTTTGAATACTTTCTGTTGCCTTCATCTAGTTCAGTAAACTTTTCTTCTTCATTGTCTAATCTTTTAATTTAACCCAATGTGTTTTTCATCTCATGTGTTATAATTTTCTTCTCTAATTTAAAAAATATGTTCTATGATTTAACTTATGAACATATGCTTGTTTCAATATTTTATTTACATGTCTAATAATTTTTGTTGGATGCTATTATTGTAATTTTTACCTTGTTAAATTGTGGATTTTTTTTCCTATAAATACTCATAAACATTTTGCTGAGACATAGTTACTTATAAACAGTTTGATCGTTTAGGGTTTTTTTTTTTTTTAAAGCAAGAACAAAGCCGCTCTCAGTATTCCCAAATACTGAGTCAACCCTTTCTGATGCCTACTTCACACTCTGAACTGTGAGGTTTTCCACTCTTGTCTGGGGAACAGGCACTGTGAAATCAGCTGTGTGATGCTTACAATTGTTACCTTTCCTGTACTTGAATGCTATACTCATGCACTGTTCAGAACTCAGTTGAATACCTGAAAGAAGGATTGCAATTCTCCAGAATTTTCTCTGTACATTTCTCTCACTTCTACCTTTATGTCCTGAAAACATTATCTGTGTTAGTCTCAAGGAACAAGAAAAGGCTTGATTTTTCTATTCAGCGCAAGGAATCCTCTGGGCTTAGCCTGTTCTCTTTCCTTATTCCATTATCAAAATGATTCTTTCAAGGTATCAAGAGGGGACAATTACAGGCTTGCTTCATTTGTTTCCTGTCTTTCAAAGATCATTGTCATCTGTGGCCAGATGTCTACTGTCTTGCAAACTGTTGTTTGTCCTTTTTCTACTTCAAGTAGGTGCTAACTCCAAGTTAAGAATTCTTGATGAGAGTGAAAGAAAGTAACCAATTATATTTAACAAAGTTATCGAGACAATTCAGTGAAGAATTATTTTTGCATAAAACTATACAGGAATAATTTTTAAAACAAAACAAGAAATAATTTTCATTAATCTTTTCTACATTATAAAAATATCTCAAAATAAATTGTAGGCCTAATTATAAATATAAAATGACAAAATTATAGGAGAAAATTCTTGTGCCTGCTTAAATTCAAAACCAAAACTACAATTTACTTCAAAAATAAATTTGGCTTTTTCAAAATCAAAAACTTCTTACCTGTTAAAAATATTATTAATAGAATAATGACAAGCCACCAACTGAAAGAAATTATTTTCAAATATATTTCTGATGAACTTAGATGAAGGAGAGGATTGGGGAAAAAAGAAAAACCAAGATATATCACATACAGGTACAAATTTCCTAAGATGAATGTCATCATTATTCATATCTAAAATATATGAATTACAATTAATTAATGATAACATTCATCATAGGAAATTTGTACCTGTACAAGAACTTACATGCAGAATGTTTAAGGTACTCAAAATTTTAAAACAAAAGAAAGCCAACAATAAAAATAGATGATAGAAAAAGGAATGTGAGAAACTTCATCAAAAAATATATATGGCAAAAAATTACATGAAAAGATGCTCAATATTATTAGTTATTAGGGAAATACAAATTAAAATATAATGAGATACCGCTACACACTGTGCAATGATTTCCAAAATTAATAACTGATAACACCAAGTACTGACAAGGATGCAAAACAACTGGGACTCTCTTATACTGCAGATGAGGATGCAATCTGGTACTGCTAATTTGGAAAATCAGTTTAGCAGTCTCTTATAAAGGTAAATATTCATTTATCATTGACTCAGCAATGGTTTCCTAGGTATTTAATCCCAATCAATTTACCTAAAACTCATAGCAAATGTATATACTAACTTTATTCATAAAAGCCCCAAATTCTAAACAACTCAAATTTCCTACAACTATGAAAGAATAAAAATAAATTTCCTGCAGGGTCCAGATAATGAAAAGGTTGCTCAGCTATAAAAATCTACTGATATACTCAAACACAAGGGTAAATCTTAAATGTAATATTCTGAGTGAAAGAAGTCATTTCCAAAGCCTAAATATAATTCCATAATAGTATTATTCTATTTATACGACATTGTATTAGTAATTCTCCAAGCTCTGGAGCAAAATTCCCAACATTTTTAACTTAAAGGAGAGGTTTATTTTGGTTCATGGTTTCAGAAGCTTCAGTTCATGGTGATAGGGTTTAAAGACAGAAACAGCATGATGCAAAGGCAGGGTGGAGGAAAGCTCTCAGTTCTGACAGCTGGAAGCAGAGAAAGAGAGAGATGGAGAGAGAGAAGGGACAAGAGCAGACCTTGTAGGTCATACACTCAGTGACCTATGTTTTTCAGTCAGGCTCCACCTCTCATAGCACACTGAGCTATGAACTCATCAACAGATGAAGCCACTGATAAACATAGCTCCCCCATTATCCTGTCACCTTCCAAAGCCTCAGCTCTGAACACGTGAGACCTCGGGGACACTGTGGGGGGGGTACTGGGGATTGAACTCGTGTCCTTGGGCTTGCAAGTCAGGCCACCGAACCGCCGAGCTAAATCCCCATCCCTAGGGACATTTTAAATCTAGACTACAATAGACATTCTTTAATATATAAAACTATAGAAGTAAATGCAAATCAGGGTTTGAAAAAAGTAGAGCGCTCAGGAAAAGCACTGACTATAAGGTGGAAACATAAGGAAATTCTAGGAGGTCACTGGACTATTTTTGTCATGGTCGTGCTGTTGTCATTTGTCCAAACTCACCAAAAAGAGTGGGTTTTAGGAAAAGTAAATTTAAAAAATGATTAGGATGCCATAACATTACGAAAAAGTGTAGCGTGTGAAATTCACTCTATTAACACTGCTGCAAATGTATATAAACTGAATACATCTGTAGAGAAGGGCTAGAAGTTAACTTTGACAAATGAAACACTGGCTAAAATAAAATACAATGGGCAACTTTTCATTGGGCTTTTGTTATTTGCAATTTAGCATGCTTTTGATAATACAATGAAGTTTTCAAAATCAATTAAAAAGAACAAACATAAAAAGTAAACACTTTATTTTTTTAAAGGTGAGTGGATTTTGCTTTGTCAAAAAGCTAAGGAGTTTTAGTCAGCTTCTTCAATTACAACCCTAAAAATAACCATTGAAATTAAAAAAACACATAATTCTTTAGAAATCTCCAGCATCCCCTTCCAGATTTACTAAAAGTGTTTTTAAAGAGTTTTGCACAGTAAGAAAACAATGAGGCACTTATCCTGGCTTTAGAGACAAAAATCCCCCAGAAAGATAACGAAGTTGGAGAAGGTAGTGTAATTCAAATACAAATCACATTTGGAGTTCTCTCCGGATACCTACATGGATCTGTTCTCCAATAATTATGACCATATGTATTATAAGGAAGAGAAATAAAGGACAATGTACAATCTCAGAAATGAAAATTTCAACTTTCTCTGAGGACTAGTGAAGGAAAGGAGAGGAGAGTTGAGTATTTAAAAATATAAGTAGGAGTTTGCTGGTGAGACAGATGATGGTATTTCAGGTGGAAACAGTTGTATACATAATAGCATGGGAGAGTGAGAGATCACGGTGCATACACATAATGCAGTATTAACTGGAAAGTTGGTTCAGTTATTAGGAAAGAATTCAAGCAAAGAAACAGACATAGAAGTTGTGACTAATCAGCATAATCATTCAAAGGAGATCTTATCAATAAGACAGTTTTCCACAAAGATTCCAAGTAAAGAGTTAAGGCAAAACTTGAAGATCTTCTAGTCGAATATAACACATCTTAGGATTCTGGGGGTAAAAAAAAGAATATAGCAGAAAAAGTAGCATACCTTAAGGTATCTTGCAGCTTCAGGATTAAACAGAGGTGTTTTTATGTAATGAAAAAAGAGTGTTGTAATTCTTTTTCTAAGTCCTTCAAGGTTCTGAGGTTTAACTCCTCTCATCATAAGGTCAACTTCTCTATCAATTAATTCTAAGATTTCCTGGGTCAGTTCACATTCATGTTCCTATACAAAACACAGAAGTGTTTAGAATAAATTTTGTTTAAATCATTAAGTTCATTTTCAAAATTATCACCCAAACAGACCAGAAGCTGCATTCCAAGAGAAATGAAACAGTGTTAATAGGGCTATAAAACAGTAGAAATAATTTGGAGGCAACAGCATTATCTAACAGTAGTTAATATGCATAACCAGTTCCACTTATATGTGCTTTAGAGAAGTATTCAGGTAGAGCTATTTTCAAAGTAGCCAAACATTCGAAATAACTAAACACTGTATCCATTGATCATGATGCAGAGGTGGGGAGGGAAGGAGGGGGTGAAGGGAGGGCAGAGACAAGGGGAAAAAATGAGAACCAAGACCTGTCATGTAGAGGTACAAGATCCCAACAATGAATGTAACCGTAATGTATCCCTAAAATGTACCAATAAACTCAATTAAAGAAAAAAAAAAGAAAGTACCAATGAAGTTGATCATATGAATAGTTTATAGGTTATTCATTCAGTAGAATATCATCTAAGGTATACAAATGAACTAGCCAGATGTGGTGAGGTACATAAGTAATTTAAGCACTCTGGTAGACTGAGGTAGGAGGACTGCAAGTTTGAACCCTGCCTGGACAACTTAGTGAGACACTGTCATCAAAAACAAAAATTAGCCAGGCATGTTAGCACATGCCTGTAATTCCAGCACTCAGAAAGATGAGGCAGGAAGATCACTGCAAGTTTGAGGCCAGCCTGATCTACACAGTGACACCCTGAATAACAACAGAAAAAAAAAAATTAAAGGGCTGAAAATATATCTCAGTGCAAAGTTCCTAGGTTCAATCCCCAGTTCCACATAAAAAGGACTGTAGCTACACACTAATAAGATGTTTAAATATTACACAGTAATTTTGAAAAACATAATGCATAATACAATTATGTATCAGGTACTACATAGTACATAGTACTACAATTTCATTAAATATAATTCAAAAGTAAATAACACTAAACTATATTATTTAGAGATTTACACAGAGGTAATAAAACTACAGAGAGAAATTAAAGAAATGACTCCCATGAAAGTTAGCAGGGTACTTAACTTCTCACAGATGAGAGAAAGGTTTTGATAAGATGGGAAAGAGGCACAGAGGGAAGGCTCTCAATGACTCGCTTAGTATTTGCTGAACTATTTATTGTATGCACGTTTATTGTAATTCCTAATAATTTTTAATAAAGTAATAAAAATAAGCATGGTTGAACGAGAAAGCACTAAGTAGGCGGTAAGGGATTAAGGAAGTACAGGTATTTATTAGTCATAAAACACAAGTCCCTCTGACTTCCCAAAGTAGCTGGTGCACAGTGTGAATGCAGAGGCAGGCAGTCAAGTCGGTGACTACAGAACAACGTCTGCCACACTGTTCAGCACCTCCCTGGTAAAGTAAACACAAGTGTGAATCAATGCTCCCTCGCCATGGAGGAATTTTAGAAGGATGTGCAGATTTTAATATTTCCTTCAAGCCTCAAAGTGTTTCTAGCATATAGCCAGGTTAAACATGCACTAGTCTAATTGTCAACAGAATAATAACTGTTATTTTTTGAGAGCATCCTACTTATGAAGCATAGTAATTAATTTTATACAAAATGAAACATTTACAGAAATAGTAAATAATTTATTTAAGGTTATATACTCATAAATGCATGGAGTCAGTCTTTGAGTCATGCTTAAATATCTTAATCCTCTGCAAAATTATTAAATAAATGAATATATACATATTCCAGTTAAATTATTTATGTGCATGGATTATCTTTTGAGTTCATATTTGGCTGTTTTAATTATCTAGTTATTTGTCCTATTTATATCACGTAGAAGGATATCTACTTCCACTTGCTTTTGACCAAATTGGGTTTTGTCTTGCCCCCTATAAGCACCATGTTTATTTCCTAGCCCTGGATTTATTGTTTCTTCTTCTCTAATAGCTTCATCTGTCAAGACTAGTTACAACAAAACATCTTTGAAAAGGTAATCCAAAACAAAAGCCATCGGTGTCTCTGTTCTCACTAAAAGCAGAAATGCAAGCTAACTATAAAAACTTGTCTCCGAGTAAGAACTGTTTAGCCAACTATTTAATTTTTGTTTTGCTTTGTTTTTTGAGACAGGGTCTCACTATGTAGTTGAGACTGACCTGGAACCCACTGTGTAGCCCAGGCTCGTCTCGAACTCACAGCAATCCTCCTGCCTCAGCCTCTGGAGTGCTGGGATTACAGGCATGCGCCACCATGCCTGGCTAACCCAACTATTTAATTTATTTTAAGAGATTTACAGATGGGTATGGGTGGTACAAAACTGTAATCCCAGCACTAGGAGAGTTTAGGCAGAAAAACTGGCTGCAAGTTCAAAGCCAGCCTTGGCTACATAGTACGTTCAAGGCCAGCCTGAACTATGTAACAAGACCCTTCAAAAAGAAGAAAAAATATTTGCACACCTTAGTATTGTTTTTCTCAACAGAATGATAGCTCTTTGTAAGTAAGGGGCAAACAATATACATAGGGTATCTGAGAGTTATGTTTGTGTAATTCTCAAGCTTGTAATCATGCAGCTTACTTAGATGGACCTAAATATGTCTGCTTTCCAGTTATCTTAGTGGACCAGATTATCATTAGTATATTTATACCTATATATGTCCTGGCAATTTGGGTCATATTGATAATCAAACCTGACTGACCACATGGTTATCTAATCCACTACTTATGTGCAAACTTCAGTTAATACAAATGACCAATAATAATAAACAATTGATATATCTATCATAAACTGAAAAGAGTGGCAGTCAAGTGTCTTACTATTTTCCATAACTCAAAATCACAATTCAGAAACCAAGTATTTTTAGTTGAACTGCTCATTTAATTAATTTATAATTGACTAATATATGCCTGATATTATCTTCAGTTTGAGTTATAAAAACCAGGAGGGGGGGAGCTGGGATTTAGCTCAATGGTTGCACCATGGGCCTCGAAAGCACAAGCTCCCAAATTCAATCCCTGGTGCAAACAAACAAACAAACAAACAAAAGCCAGGTTGTTGTTATGATTTATATCTGGGTGGCCCCTAAGGCCTCCTGCACTCATAGGTGGGGCTTTTAGGGAGGTGACTGGATCATGAGTGCATGATACTCGTCACTGAATCAGTCCACTGATGGATTTATAGCTGGGTGTGATATTGGAAGGTGAAGTCTCGTGGGAACAGGTGGGTCACTGTGGGTGTTGCCTGGAAAAAAACTCCTCCTTGATTGCTGTTGCTTCCTGTCTGCCTTTCCATCAGCTCCTTTTCTTCTACCTGGAGCCAGCTGACTATGAAATAAAAACTCTACAAACTGTAAGCCACAATAAACCTCTCCTCCTTTTACTTGTGGGTGATGGATATTTTGTCCCAGCAAGGAGAAAGTGACTCAGAAAGGCACCACTGGTTCTAATGATACTAGAGAATTACTCTTTAAGGATATAAAAACCATATACATTGCAGCAAATGCAGAGCTGTACTTCCCAGATTACCCCCACACCCTGAATGAAGCAGTCTTTCTGTTGCATGTTGTGGCAGCTGACAACTCTTCACTGAGCCTCTTTCTGGGGTTGCACACCGCTGAAGAGAGCCATCTTGCTGAAGAAAATTGCCTCATCAAAGGTCATGCTTTTTTCTCTGAGCATCCTGAATCAAAGGACTAATCAATATGGAGGAATAAAAGTCCAGGACCCTACGAGAGTTAAGGGTATTTGAGAATAGAAAATAAATGAAGTCTTGGCCCAGGTATAGCTCACAATAAATACATTGGATTTACAGAGACATCCAATGCTCATTTCCTTGGTCCTTGGATAAGTAATGGAATAGGATACTTGGTAGTTGGCACAGACTCTGTCCTCTTCATTTCTTGACCTGTGGGCTGAGCTAACATTGATGAAAAAGACCATGGGGAAGCCTCTGAAATTGCCCAGCCCTAAGGACAAAGATGGAGACAGAAATGGCCCAACTTGCTACTTGGAGAACTTTTGTTACTTTCTGTAAAACTCTGGCAATATCAAGTTTAGGAGTTCCAATTTCTGGAGAGAAAAATGCATCTAATGAAGGACACAGCAAGAGTCCTCATACACCTTGTTTCTCTGGGCCAAAAGACCTGGAGTGAATTGACCTCAATCTTCCAAAGGCTGGGGCTGTTATTAACCAGTGGGGCAGGGGAAAATGTTTGGCTCTCAGGTTACTGGGTATTTCTTGGGTACATGGGTACTTGTGCACTGGGATACTGGGTATACCCTTACCTAATTCTGACAACAAATGGAAGTGTTGTAGCCCCATCTTGAGAAGAGCAGTGACCTATAGTCTTGAGCCCTAAAGGTATGGGTCATTCTTAAATGGTAGGTAAACCAGTAGTAAAAGTGCTACTTGAGGGTGAAGGAAGTCTAAAACAGATGGCAGAGGAAAGATGCAGGAGTAGTTTCTTAAAGCCAATGGCTACAATAGAAGCTATAGTTTTGTCATTAACCTTGCTCCTAAAATTTTCTCCAGGAAAAAGAGCCCATCCAAATCAGAGAAACTGCCCTCAGAACTTGTGGATCCAATGAAGGAGGTGGATCCAAGAAACAGTATGTGTGGTACACATGGTGTCCGAACTGGAAGCTCCCATTCTCCCCACAGGTCTCGATGAATTCCTTTGTGAGAACTGCTGAGGAAGACAGATGTTTTATCCAAGTTACACCTCCTTTCCAAGGTCAGTTCAGATCTAATAAAAGGTCCGTGTGGGAGTAAAACGCCCTCTTCATCCCTTGACTCAACTCAAGACAACTCTCAAAGTCTGCCTGCCCAGCTTCGGAGTTTCGGTGAGATTCGCTAAAGTCATTGCTGACCCTCCACTGTAACTGAATTTCTCCATCTGCTTATTGTACAGCCTCACAGAAGTTAACCTGAGAGCACTCTCCAATGAAATTTTTGAACAGAAACCCAGATCTCAGAGTCTGTTTTCTGAGGAAACTTGACCTGTGTGTGATGTCTAAATTTATTTTCTGTGATTAAAAACATGCATGAGAAAAACATATACAATGGTGCTGTTTTAAACCTGCTAAAAATACTTCTTCATTGAAAAATGTTCAAAATGTACATAATGTAGATAATTATGGCTGTTTATTGAAATAACTATTAATCTCACATTGTGCATTTGCATATATTTGCATCCAGTGCATAAAGTTACATTTACATATTTAAATATTAATTGTGCTGTTTACATTTTATCTCATATATTTTGCATGTTTTCAGATAAATATGAATTCATAAACCTAACTTTTCCCAAATAAAACAATATAGTTGTCTATATGAAAAATGTATATATAATCATATTAATAATCTTTATAATTACATAATGCAAAAATATTTTGCTTATTTCAATATTCAACTAATTTTTTATTGATAGTATATTTTACCCCAACTCTAAGAGAAACTTAACATACCTTCACAGTGTGCTTAAGTGTCAGGAGTATATCCAATCGCTCATCTTGAGAGATATTTTGAAGCCTGATGCATTTATAGATGTTTTGCAACTCCCTGGCTCTGATTGTGAACTGTGTATCCATCTCAATTATTTTACCATCAGGTCTTCTCCACGTCTTTGGACTTGAACACTTGAAAATAATATTATGTTTATAATTATATTTAGCCAAAGGCTTAAAGTAACAATTTTCCACTAGCAGTTATAATCTTATTTATGACTAAAACATCACTAAAACTTAAAATTAATTGAAGAATTTATAAATAGTAAAAGTAAAAACCATCTAGACAAAAAAGAGAGCTGTTCAGTCTGTGAAAGAGGAACACTTGAATAGAATTCAGAATTTGCAACTAATTTGTACTAACTGGAGAATATCTGTTTGGTTCAAGTATACTGAATGTGTATAGTGTGTTTTAATCATGCCTTTTCAATTACATATCATTTTTATGGAGAAGTTACAGCAACTCTTGATGGTTTAGACCTAGACATATAGCAGAAAGGGACTACGTTAGTTATGGCTTAGTGTCCAATACAGAAGTAAACCTGTAAAAATTCCAAACTTCCTCATCAAGAAGATATACTTCATGACAAAGCTATACATACAGTCATCCTTCTCTATTTATAAGTTGTGAATCCTCAGATTCAACCAACCACAGATCAAAAATATTGTTTTGAAAATTACATCTGTACTGAACATGTACAAACATATTTTACTGTCAAGATTTCCAAAAGAATGTAGCATAACAAATGTTTTGCACAGTTATTTTAATTGTTTTAGACGTTATAAGTAATCTACAGGTAATTTAAAATATATGGGAAGATGCTCATAAATTATAGGCAAATACTACGCCATTTTATATAAGAGAAGTGAGCAACTATAAGTTTGCTATCCTATGGGTCCTGGAACCATCCCCTGTGGCTATGAGGATATATTTATCTAATTATTGTATCATTGCCGTGATGTTTACCACCCTAATGGTGGCTAACATTCTCACATTCTATTTGCACATTTGGCTTGATGCTTCTCAATCTAGCCCACCGCCTCAAGTGAAGACCAGTTGTCACAGAGCTCATCTAAGGACTCTCAGGCTAAGAAGTCAGAAACCAGCAAATAAGATGACAAATGAGCCCTCCACAGCCTCAAGGATACCAATATAATCTTCGGTGATAGTACCTCAGTGTATTCATTCACCTGGAAATGTCGCAGTGATAATGTACTGTTTATTTGCTCTTCTACTTTAGGGTGAAATGCAGTTCTGCTTCCACGATTATAATCTTTCAGAAACAAGACTACACTGACCCCAATTGTTAGCTGTGCAATGTTGGATGCTTTCACAGGTTAACTGGTAACATTTTGAGATCCGCGTAACCCAACTTGTGCCATAGCTGCAACCATTTATATCAGAGCTGTGAACTACTTTAAAATTTAAATAGAAACTCTACATATTGGAACAAATCATTAGGAAGATAGAATACCAGGTGGAGGTACAATATAAGGTTGTATTTAGAATGACAGTGTTGCGAAGAACTTTTCAGTTCTAACAATTGTCAATTTATCCTTAAGTTTTCACACTTCATAGTAGCAAAGTTACATTGCAAACTATGGAGCTATCCCTTACACACAAGTATATTTCCTACATTTTCAAAATAATGTGATTATATTCATGCCAAACCAAAAGTGAATGTTGCTTGCACTAGAAACCTTTACTAAGAAAGTTTAGATTTTCACTGCTAGTTTTAATTCAGCAAATGAGAAGCTGCTGCTGTGTAATTAATATTATTAGACCATAAATTTTACAGTAAAGAAGGTATTAAATAGCAGATTGATAGAATTAAGTAAATTGATTAAAGAATTATAAAAAGTAAATATCTCAGTAACAAAATGTTTTATTATTTAGTTATTATCATAAAAATTAAATAATTTTGAGTGGATATAGCCTTGTTTTGCATAATCCACAGAGTGTTACAGACATACAGTGTTTGTCTCAAAATTCCTTTCAAAAATTTTAAGGAATAAGAAGGCTTAGGCTAAGCTTTATATTACCATATTCTAAAGTCTAACTAACATCTTAATCTTTGCATGCAGCTGTGATCAAGGGGAGTCTTTTAAACATAATTTTCTTTCTTCCAATAACATGGACAATACCTTTTGCTCTGCACACTTTTTCAATTTGTAATTATCTTTATGGTGATATATTTATAAAATACCTACTTTATCTGTACTGCACTTTTTCAGTTATGTCATTTGGCTTTGGGGGTCCTAAAATGCACTGATTTGATTCTGCCCTCTCTCCAACTTTTTAGTCCTAAGAAATACATTATACTATGACAATGTCTAGGGATTTTCCAAATACATTCTATATCTAAAACTTTTGCATCCTTTAATTTTTAATTCTACACTAACTCTTCCACAAAGACTCCTGTAATACTGTTTTGAACCAGTGACATCACTTATATCTGAAATCATATCATAGTTCTAGAAATAAACATACACAGGTATGTATGGTCTCATTTTCAGTCACTTGGAGCAGTGAAATTCACATTCAAATTGTTCTATAATTTTCCCCCAAACATTATAACAAACATGTTTCTCATATAATTCTATAAATTTAATAGTATTCATTTATTCATTTAACAAATATTTACTATATTTACTTATACATAGTTGTATATTAGGCACTGAGTAGGTAAAATACTGTCCTGATTTCAAGAGCTCTCAAATCTCACAAAATGTAAAGGTCAGAAAACAAATATTTAGGGAAAGGCTGAGTATGGTTAATGATTGCCAGTAAGTAGTTAACTGTGGGTGGCTACAAAGCACTAAACTGGTGAAATGAAAATAGTGTCTGGATGAAAGCTGAAAAAATAACTAGAAGTTATCCAGATTAAAGAGAACTAAGGGATAGGGAAAAAAAAGATGGGAATGGAATTAACATGAGAAAAACAAAAAATGGAAACAAAGTCTTTGTAGATAGGGCAGGGTGGAGGGGTTAAAGGTAGGGCAGGGAAATGAGGGAAAAATAGGAACTAAGATGGATTATGCAAAGGTGCAAATTTCCAATGAGGAATGTCACTACAATACCTTAAATGTACCTATAAAATTCATTAATTTTTTAAAAAGGAGAGAATTAAGTGAAACAAAGAATACTAGATTTGAAGTTCCTAGAGCAGGAATGGGGAAGACACATATCTTAAAAATCTGTTGCTTTTTTTATATTTAGATGTATTTCTTTCAACTCTGATAATTTGATTTTCAAGTGTAGGCTTCTTTGATTTCAGGCCTGAGGGTGTTTTTACTCTGATTCAAGAAAATGTTTACTTTGCTTACTTCTCTTTCCTATTTTTTTTTCTTTCAACACTTTAGCTGTAATAAGAGATGTACAACAATCATGTCTTAAAATTGCTTCAGAAAATAAGAATGTAATAAATTTCATTTAGCTGCCAACAAATAAGACAGCATAGGCTCTGGAACAGAGAAACAGAAGAACAGCAGGGAGACACACTTCAGGGAAGGCAAGGTAGTAAGATAACAAAAACCTTGAGAGCAGCAGGCCTCTAAAAAAAAAAAGAGGATAAATGACTACCCTCTGAGAGTAGGTCTTTTCTTTTTCTTAAATTAATTCTCAAGTCCCTAAGGGCACACATTAAGCATAAGTTCAAGCCCCCAAAAGCACTTGGCCAAGATCGAGGGTTTTTTTTTGCACAGCACAGTGGTTCTGTTCATTCAGATAGATGCCCCTTGTTTAATGCACTGCCCAGAAAGAAGTGGATGCATTTTTCAACCCCATTAGCTGTTGGCCACCTGAGTTTGGAGAAAAAGCATTAAAATGACACAATTAACATGAACTACAGTTTTTTAAGCTTATGATTTTGATAAGTGGTGAACAAATCAAAGAGAATGAAAGGAGTAAATGGCCTTGAATCTAGGAGAAAGCTCTTACAAAAATCAAAATATCTCTTCAGGGAGTTTGAGCAAAGAGTAGCCAAGATATATTAGAGACTAGCTAATGATTTTTCGTTCAAATTTATTAACCTGAATTTCTTTAATATTCGATAACTTGTGAACATCAATGTTTGATATGTAAAATTAAACATTAATACTTCAAAAAATCTTATGATGGAACAAGCTTTTATTAAGAAGGAGAACTTAGCTTATAAAAACCATGAAATGTATTGACTTCCTAGATTGGACTAATTTTAAATCATATCAGTCATTATTCAGAGAAATTCCACGGTCATAAGGAAGATAAAAAATAAAATATTGGTTCAATAGACCATTTAGTATTTGAGCTCAATGAATTTAAGCTAAAATATAAACATAAAATCTATTCTCTAAAGTTATTTCCAAACTATAGGAAAGTAAATATCCATATAATGATGGTAATTGTTAAAAATCTTAAAATTTACATGGTGATTTTGGTTATGTGTTACTTTAGATATTTGTAAGGACACTGGCTGCTTGGGTCCACAAGCTCCAGGCAAAAAGATGCTGGGAAAAGAGCTGCACAGGCCCACAAACAATAATAGAGGTCCTTCCAGATGGTCCTTCCAGAGGTCCATCCTGATACCACTGGTAAGTGTGTGCAGAACCTAGCCAGAAGCCTGACCATAAACCAGCAACTGGGGTACTCAGCCTCCAGCCAAAGGCCTTACCACACAACGGGTACACAGGAGGGCAGGCCTTAGCCAAAGGCACACCTACATATCATCCCAAGTGTGCACACACCCCAGCTAGAACCCCAACTGGACAACAGGGAAATTCAGAGATCCAGAAGACCACCACACTGAACCCAGGAAATAGTGCAGTGGTGAGCAGCAGAGAAAAGACCATTCTCTATGGCTTGCTGAGAATTTCAGACCACTGGGTGAGCAAAAAGTTGCCTCAACAAAGGCACAGCAAGCTGCATCTGTTGAAATGAGAAGATTCATAAACTAGTCTCAAAACCAGACTTTTGGATCTCCTAAATCAACCCCAAAGAGCAATGAGATGGAACAATCTGATATGCAAACACCTGGACTCCATGAACTGGCAACAAAAGAGCATCTGGAAAAAATTAAATCAGAAATAATTCTCAGATAACAGAGATTGTTCCCATAGTGCAAGACATGATTAATAAATCTAGAGCAGACACAGATTTAAAAATAGAGCATCTGACAAGTGCAAGGACCCAAGTTCAATCCCCAGTACCAAAAAAAAAAAAAAAAAAAAAAAAA